GCTGTGTTTTGACGATATTAAAACGCGATTTGATGGGATAAATCTGTAACAGATTTTCGGCAACTCTGCGGTACTATTAAACAGAAAGTTATATCAACGTTACAAAAGCACCGCAACAGTTCCACCGTGCAACTATGCTTCAAAGAATTTCCTGGCCCAGAATACGAACCGTACACCAAAAAGTTGATTAACAGAATACAACAGTTAAAAATCTGAGAATCAATGGGAATATTCCCGACAAAAACGGGATCAAAACTATGTCTACAGGAATCAGATGGATCAATAAGCTTTGTCGGTAGACAGTCAGAAGACAAGCATTCACCTGACAGCGCAACTCTGATTTGAGCCAAGCGAAATGCCGGGGACGGTATGAAATCCCCATGCTGCTAATAGTCCGGCATCACACTGTGGCAAAGTAGGGCAGTAGTGACAGTTCTTGACCAAAAAGGCCGATAATGACAAGATTTATACGGACGAAAGGTAGTGTGGGATGAAGCAGATACCGCAGAAGAATTCGAAGCATGGATGAAATGAATGGAGGTATTGTGGCGACTATTAGACGTTTCACCACCTAAGCAACTGAATGGGCCTAAAACTACCTACATTGAGCTTCCTGTATCTAGCGGCTCTTCGTGCGATGGATATGGGGCAGCTGTATATTTGCTGGTGACCAATAAATGAGATGACCGAGTTTACGTTGCTACTTGACGGAGCGTTTACATGGCTCATTCGTTACTAGTTGTGTTTGCTTAAAGTGGACGAGGGGGCGTTTGACTGTTTGCTAACCACACTGATGCTGGGGACAGAAGAGAATGAAACGCAGCTGTGCAAACTTATAAATAAATAAATATCTGCATTCTCAAGTTATGAATTTAGCATGAGAGAAGCCGGTTTTCAGGGAGGACATTAAACCCCATCATGATACCAAGCATCCAAATGTTATGAAAATAACAGGGAAATATCACTTTACGGTACATACACACAGTTTTGAGTTTGAGTCATTCCTACTCACGGTTCGTATTTCACATCAAACGGTGCAATATTCGGTGTTTGCGTTGTGAGCAGTCAACATGATTTACCCGTCCGCAAAACCCAGTGTTCCGTCACATAAACGTCTTTTTTAACAGTAGTTCTTATGTTCATAGCTCCACTGACCAACAATAACTTACTTCAATGACTTCAAGAATAAGTAAATATCCATACAACCATTTAATCCAGGTAAATGTCTAGTTTCAGGCATTTCTCACTCCTCAAGCGCTGTCTTTCCCAGCAATTCAGATGGGTAGTATTGAAAACATTTGCTGTGGTGCAAGTAATTAAAGATTGTAAGAATCTTCGTCCGGCAGTGGTGAATAGTACACATTTGTAAAACTTCATAGACCTCATGCCGAAGTATGCAACGTTGTCGAGGAGATACGTTGGCTGTTAATTGACTCCTGACCTGGGGTAGAGACTGAAGAATCCCCGAGCGATCAACTTCATACCTGAGACATCCACTTTACAAAAACGGCTTGAGATTCCTTACCTCGATGGGGACTGTAACACTTCTCATGCGGCCGATTATATCACCTATGAGTAATTACTGTTTATATGCACAGTTTTCCACTTTCCGATGATTCGCCGTCCGTTGCTGTCTGAGCACTTGTTGCTGTAGATTGGTGAAGGGCATGAACTGCCACCCAGCCACGTTGAGCTTGTCACTCCCACCGTTCGTTGCATACAGCTTGCACTCTTTTCGCCTTCGAATCATCTCAGTTTTAAGTCTCCAAATTTACGCACTAATCATCAATTAGTGTACAACCCCAATTATCGTGGCACGAAAGCCAGACGGTATCCTGACTTTGTGCTACTTCAGAGAGCACTTGCTCAGGTAAATCTTAACCACTACCATTTCCTTTTAACACTCACGACTGTCTGGACTTCCCAGTCACCATTTCTTTAGTGGTTTGTCTTTAGTTGCGACAAGCCGAGCCGTCCTTTTCTAAACATGCCCCTCTTTTGGGTCAAATCTAGGTGTTCTGGCATCCAGGGTATGCGTCAAGCAAACCTTAACACTTTATAGAAGAATAAGTGCCAAGATTTCAGTGACCAGTACTGTTTCAGCTTGCGATACGTGGTAGGATTATGCCCATTACTACCGTCAGGGTTTCACCTCAACAGTTTTGGGATTTTATGGCAGGTTGGTCAACCTGGTAGATGTGTCTGGGTCACTGGAGAATATCCACCCAAGCCGCTGGTGAAATTAGTAATGGTAGAATCGAAAGATCACTCCCAGTAAGGTGGGAAGAATAGGACTGTTACCATGGCGGTACAAAAATGAACTGTCAAAACTATTTGCAAACCGTTGGCGTTGTCTGCTTGGTTCAACGGTGTGTACCGACTGCAAATGTTGACGCACCCATGGGTAATTTGCATGCTCAAGCTACTTGTGGTCTTGATAGGCTTTCAAGAGTCATTTATAAAGGCACCAGTGGTGCCGTGGGCTGTGAATGGCTGGTCAGTTGTGATAAGAAACACGGTGGCAAGCCAAGTTCTGCAAAGCAACAGCGTGTGATAAAATCCAAAATATTTCACAGCCTGCTGGTCACAGGGTAAATGTCCGACACAACCAGCTCTTTTGACATGGAGCTAATCACTTTTAGTTATTTCAACCAAGAAATCCTAGGTTAGTTAAGAAGGAGATGTTTGCTGGTCCAGTAGGGGCATTGTCTTGTAGTAAAAATGATATTTGAGCCGTTCGGAAGTAGTCAACCGCAGAGCTCAATATGAAACATAGTTCCCAATGCAATGGTCCGCATCTTCAGCAAACCAGGGAGCCAAAGAGCAGAATGGTTGGAATCAAATGTTTGCGCTGTCCCAAGTAGGTAGTATGGTCCACATTAAGCACATTGGACAACGAAATGCGTGTGGCCAGCAAGGCCGTATTACTTGAGGACAAGTCGGTAGAACACCACAGTCAGAGTTCTTTCACTCAGCTTGTCACTGCCGAAGTGAAGAAGGATTGCGAAGAGGCCCAAAATAAATATATCACTGTTACCCGGTTGTCCCGAGTCTGCCAAAAACACACCTTACCCAGGCTGTGGTGCTATGATGGAGGTTATTTTTTTATGCCGACTTTCGGAACAAATGGTGTTGCAGTAGTCTCGTGGCCGTCGAAAAGTCAGGAGCCAACTATGTAATTAAAGAAGATAAAGGAAAGGAAGAACACATAGCTGGATGTTTAGTTGACGTTTTTGCCCAAGAACGGTAGGGGCGGGATGTCTTACGGAGTAAGAGCTGCAAGCATCTACCGCGACGATGTATTTGTGACAGTCGGTACCCGGATGCGGAAAAATTGGTGGAACCGAATGAATTGCACCTCAGGTCATTCACAGACTCTGCAGTCTGTGCACCTAAGTGAAAGGTTTTTAAGTCACTTGGAACCCCCTACATGGATCAAAGAGTTACTCGTTAGTGGGAGATAAACAGTTAGGACCGGTTCTAAACTCTCCCCTGAGATTCGGTACAGAGTGGAGTGCCTGAGGGCATAGTCCTCAGACCCTCGGTATTTCTCTCATACTGGCTGATAACTATCAGTTCATGTAAGCGTGCTAGTGTTCATGTGGGCCATACAGATGGTAACACTCACGGTATTGTTAGCACCATTGGGCCCTTAGTACTGACCTGCGACGCACTGGGCGCCACAACAAATTGTGATTCGTAAGCCAAATAGCACTGTTGGCTGGTCACAGCCCGGAGTTACAGGCACCTGAGGTTTACGCGTAACGTCCACACAAACAATTGGCGATGTGTTTACCGCCTTTCACACATCCTTAGTTAGGTCTAGACTGGAGGACTGTGCACAGACGGAAAACGCTTGTCTGAAAGGTGAATCAGATTCGTTGGCAAGATTTCATAAGATGACCACCCATTTGATCTGTGTGATGGCTACCGTGACCTACAAATAGCGGTCCAAGGAGCTGAACCTCTTCCCTTCATTCTGTTTCAGACAGAGGTGAGGTCAAATCATGCTGTACAGGATATTAAGAAACGACTCTGCATCTGACCTTTCTTCTCCTCCCCTCCCAGTTTAGAACACCCCAGAGAAGGTAGCAAGGGGATACAGGGCGAACGGTGAATACGGTCTCCGTGGGTGCTGTTTCTCACATCGGGCAATGCACCCCTGGAACTAACCCCTCGAGGATGTGGTGTCTGTGTCACTAGTTGACTCGTTCCAAAGATGAGTGGACGGGCAAAGATATCTGCTATAAGAGGATTAATATTGGGCCACAGGCCTGTATCCTAAAAATGTAAGCCTGAATTTGATCTGATTAGTCTTAGAGAATTATTAGCGGCGGCAGAAGCGAATGGTGATGGACACTGCAGACAAATCCAGTTAGGGTACTCCATTAGGACTAATACTGCACTTGGGCTTATATCCCGAATTAACGGTGTGACGCTATGTAACGCTTTGACAAGAAAGGGGTATACAGCACCATGGTTAAATTCTTAACCGAATGTTGAGTAGGCGTGTAAGTGCCCATTGACTGCCAGTGACATTCACTGATATTCAACAGCTACCGGTGTATCAATCTTTTATTAACCTGCATAAGTAGGGTTAAGCTAAAATTTACCCTCAAATGTTATATTTTTGGTGTGAAAATTCGTATTTTCTGTTTCGTGGGCAAATATTATTTTCGTCCGTTACTCTCACTTGAACTTGTTCACATTTGGTGTCTCCCTCTATTCTGAGATTATTCCACTGTGGTTCTTTTACTACGAAGTACCACCAAAGAAAGAAACTAAAAAGCATACTGATATTCTAGACTGATCCAGGTGTTCGATTCACGAATGAATAAACTTCGCCTTTAGCCAACTACCACGTCCAGAGCTACCGTCGAAAAATCAGGATTTTAAACTCTAAACACCAAAGCTGAACAACCGTCTTAGAGAATGTGATCGTTACACCTTGTATGAAACGTGAAAGTTTTCAGCTTCTTATATATCACTTTGTGTGTTGAAATCCATTGCGGCATAGCAACAAGAAGCGCCACCGCGTTATTGAATGCTAAGGAGTATTGTGCAAGTTTGGCATTTCTCACAACAAAATGGTAGAAGAATGACAGAAAATGAAGAAAGCATGTCTGATTGCGAAAGCCTCCTCAAAGCTCAGGATGTGATAAGCACTGGAGATGTTTTAAAGCTAAAAAGAGCTACTTCTGGTAAGATTATTTTTCATGGCATTTATTCTGACAGACTATTTATGTACCCTAGACCGCAATATTTACGACATACAGTTTCTTAGCTTTTCTTTGAGAGATATGGAAAGCAACGCCGTTATCTTTGAAGTTCGAAAACCACCATCAGAATGTGAGTTTACATTCCAGTTCCTTATGTGACATACCTCTCAAAGATTTTCAAAATGATTGTGAACAAAAAAGATGTGTACGTTACAAGTTTAGTCCAGACTTTCTCTATCTTAGGACTGTCGGCGCGACGTGAGAATATAATGATTTCTTATATCTATTTAGAGTTGAATTTTCTATTGGTGACAAATATATTTCGGAATTCCGCATGATTGAGCGTCATTATTTCAAAGACAAACTACTAAAAAGCTTTGATTTTAATTTTGGCTTTGTCATCCCTAATTCTGTCAACACTGTGGAACATATTTATGAGTTTCCGAAACTTACTGATGGTGATGGTAATTCGTAGTATATATTGTAATATATAATCATCCCATAGTTAGAGATATGATTCAAAATCCTTTCGAAACACGTTCAGATAGCTTTTACTTTGTTGATGGAGCACTTGTCATGCATAACAAGGCTGAATATGCCTACAACGGATAAAATGAGCAGTCGAGTAATTATTTACAACATATCGGACAACTATCCCCTTTTCCTGTGTTTTGTAGTCTTTCGCCTGAAGTAACAGATAGCAATATTCTAATAATGTGCAATTTATTGACGTTTGTGAAAATTGGAATTTTCCTTGTGAACTCTTTGATTCATGGGCTTAGATTTCATAATTGTTTTTAGGTTTGGTGACAAGGCTTATCGTAATCGTTTGCCTACGGATGCCTTTGTTTATTTAGTATTTTTGGGGGTGCATTTATCGTATTTACTGAAACTCCTTGCAACCAGTTGTTAAACCGATATACGTTCACAATTGTTTTCCTGCCTTTGAAGTTTTCTTGTCTTTGGCGGTTTCCAAATTTAAAGGATGTATACTGTCAAATGTTACTCGTAAATCTCAAGACGACATAATTAAATTACTGCTTTTCTAATACATGATAAAGAGGGTATTTTCAACTTTGAAATATCTAGGACTATCAGCGAAGTTACTTACTGAATGCTTTTCAGTACATCTGAGCCAACTTTGAAAAAGAGTGCTGTTTATACTTAGTTCTTCAGTTTAGATTGTACCATTTTTTATTTCGATAGTAAATATATCTGTTGGCAGCTATGCTTATCACTGAAGCATTCCAAAGTATTTAGTGAACTACCAATCGTTAGGTATTGTTGGCTAGTACAGAGGTTCCACCATATATTGGAATTGGCGTCAATATGCATATTAGTTGAGTAGATAGACAATAACCAAGTTAACGCTCACTATGTAACATTATCTTTTCCACTATTCTCTATATCTTGACATTGTGTGCGGAATCACGAATTTATTTATGTTCAGTGAGTTGTTTGGGTATAAAACTAGCCTTAGAACGTTCCTCGAGGTAATCATTCCTTAATAATTCTCAGGACATTATTTTCATCACTTGAAAAAACCATTAAAATTTCAGCACTGGTCAGCTGCTTCACCAAAGCCAACAGTGTGCACCCAGAGACTAGGCGCAGGACCGTCAGACCTCGAGACGAAGATGTAGCCATTTAGCCACATTTTCCTGCTACTAACAATTTTCGATGTGCGTGACCATCACCTAATGCCATCGGACAGTATTTGTCCTCATACCTGACTTGGTCGTCCCCAAAGAATGTCTTCTCACTAGCACTTCAGAAAGTCAATTTTGAATCAAGACTACATCGAAATTAATCAATTCTGGCAAACCACTAACTGAATTTCAGGAAGATAGTTTAAGTTATGATTCCCACGCCTTATCTCATTTTGAAGAAAAATTCCTTGGCTCATACCAGAAGACTTCTAAGACATGCCATGAGGCACCGTATCAAAAGCTTTGTTATAGTGTTCAGGATTCACGTCTGTAGACGTCACCGAACTAACTTTGGAATTCAGAAGTTTTCTCAAGCGGGGTGAACTTCTGATACAGTCAAACTGCACTGAAGCTAAGTTATTTCCCAGGAGATCTGTGATAACTGTCTTGATCGGTTGACACAATGCATCTGTAAAGTTTCGTTGGGTGATGTCTGGAAACTGCTTCACGGAGATTTGATTAAGAGGTCTTTTCAGTAATACGATATCTTGGCCGAGGAATAAACTACATATAGTATCTCTTAGGCAAATTACATAGGTTGCATGATCTAGGCAATGTGAGGAGTAGTTAGCCTGGTTATGCTGATTACACCGCATCCAAACTTTTGAGGGTTCCTAATCTGCTCTATGCTAGCAGTCCTAATAATAAACATCTGTTAAATGACTACTCCGGAACAAACACCTCAGCTTGATAGCTTTCATTTTTGACGGTGAGAATGCCTGTTTCCCTAATCACGACTTCGATGCCACAGCATCTGTCCACCTCTATGCTCTACATAAAATTTCTTTGGGAGTGCCCTGCTGAGTGCCAGATAGCATTCGAATTGTTGCACTAATTCCTGTTTAATATAGCTTTTTCATCCCAGATATTGGGAGCTTAGATAATATTCTCTTCCGTATTAGGGCTTCAAATTTCAGAGTATATCTTAGAAGTAAAGTATATTTCTGAATAAGTCTATGGAATGAGTAACTGCGTCAATCAGCCGTTTAAAGAAGTAATATATGGGTCCATTTGGTAGCCCAAAATGATGACTAAGTCCTCTGAAGATCTAATCGTCCCTGGTAGTCTGCCCACACCTAGGATGAGTCAGCCCCATATATGGCAGCGGTAAGACGATAGAACACTTGTCGTTATTGCCCTCAGGTTGATTATACTGGATGCAGCTTATATTATTCCCGCGTGAGAAAACTAAGTCTAGGACCAAGGAAGCATTATGACAGTTGTATAAACCAATTTTTTTACGAGGTATATTAGTGGACTTAGTACTATTACAGCTAGGACTGCGTTTATAGTCCAGATGATTCTGACCAACCTGCCTACGCGAAATAAAAGTCCCGAGTAGTGAACTCAACGGCAAGTAATGTTACATGCAATTTCGGCGTATTACTTTTGACTTAGTACTTAACTAAAACCAAGTTGAACGATTGCTGTCGCTAATTGTTCGTATGATGACAGTGATTTCTATAAGTCATGGTGACCTTTTGCTAACGCTACGCATCACATATTGCTTCAGTGTAAACATCAGGATTTGAAAAAATAACAGTCATCTTCATAGGAGACTAATACAACTTTTGTGCGCCTTTTATTTAGCAAGTGAGTTGATTTTCACTGATAATCAGATCTACCAAGTTCTCTTTTGCAACTTCTACTAACCTGCAAATATATTCACAGAATGAAACCAAACAAAATATAGATAACATAGACCGTCAATGTTTTCGACCCTATACTGAACAGGATTTTGTTACACTAGCAACTGATAATTAAGAGCGGTAAACCATTCTCCATACACCCTTGTCGATCGTTTTCCGTTGAAGCGGTTAACGCCATGTGTAAAACAGGATTATTCGGTTTAAAAAAGGTAATCTACGTAGTGCAACTACAACCCCGAGAGTACACTATGTTATTATAAATTTTTTTAGGTAGTTTTAGTAAAAATCCATCCACAAATTGTTTGCTTCACTTCTGAGGTGAACCTAACACCGCATTCTGAAAACAAACCTAGCTGCAAGGATTTGGGCACAAGATACAGAGAACTAGGTCGAATGTCGTCTCGAAAGCAAAGTTGAAACTGGTCTTGGAGTATCGTTCGGTATCAGCAGTCATGGTGATCAGCTGAAAATATAATCCTGAACCATTTATATACGAGAATTCTTGTCATTTCCCTTCGCATATTAGGGTTATACTTACGTACACTGGTACCGAAAAGTTAGATCTGAATGACGACACGCCATCCATTGTAGATATTTAGTAATCACATGGCCGTTTCGTAAGAAAGCCTTACGAAGTCAAGTCACTGTATGAGAGAAATCCAAAGTAAATCGGGACTACATTTCGAAGAATAAGGGGATTCTAAGAAGCATCACTAGCAAATCCGAACCAAGCAACTGGTCACACTAAATGTTGTATCCAATACGAAATTTAACTTATTCTGAAACCACATATCCCATACACTTACTGCGTTTAACATTCACTTCTACAAATCGACTATTTTTGCCATGATCACAAGTAGCTGAGTTACCAACGTACTGAACCCCAAAATGTGAAATCGTAGTGAACCGCTTTGGCAACTTTTCCTATTTGTCAATTACCATCACCGATCTGGTCAAGATAAAGATATGTCGAATCTACACTTGTGTGAGGTTCTACAAGGACCTGTTGGCTTTACAGGTATGACCCATATTTGCTTACATGAATATCGTACCTGCCATGTCGAACAGCAACTCCGAATGGTTATACTAGACACACTATGTGCATCCCTTATCCACCTGCGGTGAGTCTGACTTTCAAAGGTCACAGTATACCTAAACTCTCTTTAGATGACCATCAGTCTGTTATATTGTTGGTCTCCAGAAGCACTGGGACAAATGTCATCGATCAATAAGTCAAATCAAGTGCATACACCAGCTTTATCGACTTGGAACTCCCTGGACGGTATCTCTACCTGCTCGTGCATCATGATCCGCTGAGGGTAACGAATCACGCCAACCAGTGATCTACGACTTCCCTAGATATACATCAAATCCCAGCTAGGTAGTTTCACCGTCATCCTCGCCCTGAACTACAGATCTTCTCCACCATTTAAAAACCACAAAGAAACATTTATGAGTTACAGTGTGAGCCCAACTACAATTAAAATAGGAAGAATGTTTTCGAAAATAAGGTAGTCCCCAACAGATGAGTAGTACTTCGGCAATCAAAAATGTGACATCCAAACTGTGTAGATAATGCAACTTAAAGGCATGGTTACATAATAAGGAATACCCATGTTTAGAAACAGACAAAACAGAGATGTATCATAACTCGTTTATTTTAAAACTGTTGATTAATACTTAGTGCCTCATTCCAGGGGACGTACGGGAGTTTGATCATTGTAATTACTAGATTCCGGGTTTTTGATAGTCTCATCAACACTAAGCAGAAGACAAGCCGCTTCAGTAGCTGAGATGATGGAATTGCTCTTCACCAGGGCTGGTTCCCAAACACCACTTTCGAAGTTATCGCACACACATTCCTTCTCGATGTTCACACCATACCAAATGTCACCTGGGAACAGAAATAAAGTGTGATGATTCTCGAAATTATGCCATAAGTGTAGTTATTTGATCGCACTGAATAAACCCTGTAACAAAAATCTTTTTTGGCCAGAGTTGTTAACAAGAAAGCAACTAACATAAGGCATAAAACAACCTAGAAAACTAACCTGTGTCCGTAGGTGAAACCATCAGAAAAGAGTTCTAGGCAAACGTGCAGTTGCATTTCAAATCGTCTTATATTCTGATATCTCACTTTTCGGGGTGGAATGATCATATGCTCAGCTAATAACTCAGGTATTAGTCGGTCAACTTCTTGAGCTTTAAAAGTTAAGACCCCACATCGACGCTTTTGATAGCAATTATTGACTAGGAGCGAAAATTAACTTTATACACTGGTTTTTTTTCGTGAACTTGAAAAAGTTCGTTGTAACTGGAAAGTCAGTCAAAGAAAAGCCTCAACCGAAAGCTGCTTATCCCATAGGATCTTACTGTTCTGCAAGGCAGGCGGGATCGTGAAAAAATTAAAATAACGGCTTTTATCATGGTGGAAATAAGTAACAGAACAGCAACTATTCAAAAGATGGACAGCATTAGGGTTCCTAAAGACTTCATTGTTTTAACTCGTTAAAATGATTACGGCTCCCCAGTCACTTTGACTGTGACAGTTAGTGAGGCACTGAACTAAAATATAACCACTTTTCTTGTTTATGTAGATGGAGTGGTTTCGTGAAAATTTGAGCAAGTGGATTTTCAACTGAATATACTATACTATGAAGCGCTTCTTATTCGAGCTCATGCAGAAAAGTTAAGAACTTAAAGATAATGCATGAAGCAACTCAATCTGTCTTATGTATTAGATCAACTAGCGGTATTTACCAGATATGTTTACCACCATTTCTTAATGTCCAACTTTTGCAAACAAAATGATAGTGATCCTACTTGTCTTTGAATTCTTAAGAATAGATTTTTTGACGTATGATAAAAATAGTTGTCAGTGTTAGATAATGGCGAAATGAAAAGAACATATATGGTATCCGGTTTGGATTCAACAAAATCAGTTGTCTATATTCCAGCAAGGATGCAGGAGAAGCTTTCAGTATCTGCTTACTTCAACCATGTTTGATTGCCAAGATGTATCTTACTGTATATCGAAACATGAGCTAGCTACAGGTTTGAAATTACTTCAAATCTGATATGGAATAAACAGCAAATTATTTTAGTGTAGATTCCTGTTTACCAAAATGGTCTACCACCTTTCTTCCTCTATTGGTGTACTGTCCATAATTAAAGTAGTTTGAACTTCTCTTTTAGGAAGTCAGACGTTGTTTGATGTATTTAATCTTGTTTCGTTTTGAAAACATTGCTGGGTTCAAAAATTGTTTTTTGAAATATTCATACAATCACGTATTCTTACGAGATTTAGGCGTCAAGGGAGATGCCGTCTACCGACATTTTTCGTATCTACCAAGTGCTGGCAATACATGAAAAACTGAACATATTGTAAAGCTATCGGTGTTGCGACCTCCAGAGAAAGAAGAAAGTAGAATAAAGGCAAAGAATTTCTTCTATGTTACGCTGTCTGAAGTCTTACTCTGCAACAGTTATCTTTATGTATAGATGTGTAATTTGGAAATTCTTAAGACGTTAAGTATGAAGACAAACTGAAAAATACCTTTAGCGTGATTATGGCGCAGTTGGTTTAGAATAATGGTTGAATCCAATCCAGCGTTGTCACACAGTTGTCTGGGTATAACTTCAAAAGCTCTAGCCATCGCGCTTATCAGCAATTGTTCACGTCCTCCGATTTGGAGAGCTTCATTGCGAAGATAACCACTTATTTCCATTTCAGCAGCCCCGCCACCTATTGCAAAAAGGTAGTTTTATTGTTGTAGGTATTTCAAATGTTTACTATACAGAAAATGATTGAAAAACCTACTTACCAGCAACAAAGGCATCGTTCTTAACAGCCCTTCGGACTACCATAATAGCATCATGTAGTGAGCGCTCAGTCTCTTCCATAAACTGCTCGGCCCCACCACGAAGAATTATCGTGCAAGTATGAGCTTGCGGACAACCTTTGAATATATTAAACCTAAAACAAAATAAACCACACATGCCTTATTTACAAATTCGAGAATGGGCGAATCATTATGAAATACAAATATTTAATGAAAACGACAAATGTAATCATTCCTAGAGCACTAAACAAGGTATGAAATGCAGCGCGTAAACCGTATTTTCCTACAAAATATAGTGATACTTTATTGATGTTGAAAATATTACCAGGACTTACCTGCACCCAAGTATAAAGAATTTCGATGTAACAATTTAAAACATCCAAAACATCATTTTGGGACTCGACTATCATGAGTAAAATGTAGAGAAACAGAGAACCTCAAAGCACCCATTTCTAATACTATGGATTAAAATGAAAAGCAATGAGCCTAGACATAAGTGCACACAGGTCGCACCCATTATATAGGCGGGTCAATAAAAAACTTTGCACAAAAGCACATTAGCTCAACTTGCCAAATTTGAAAATGAAAAAAGAGAAAGTGAACAGAATTACGATAATAAAATGAAGATCCTAACGGCAAGACTCTTTAACCCACCTTTCTGAACCGATTTGAATTTCTTCGAAAACATCACAAGTTCCAAGTGCACTATCTGCAAGACCATGAACGGTTGTTTGCACGCTCCCACCACAAGCCATTTGAGTACGTTTTAAATCATCTTCAGGTACACGACCGGCACAAAACATATCACGATCAGCAAAATACTGCGTGGCAACATCTCCGATGGGCAATTTAGACAGAACTATTTTGACTCCGCTTTTGTGCAAAATTTCCAGTTTATCATAAAGAATCTGCCACTCAGCATCAACGATTTTTTGGTACTCCTAGAAATGAATCTTCAAAGCAGAAATAATTCTCACCTCTACTGAAGAGACACGAACTTCAGCATTTTCTTTTTCTGCTTTCAATTCTAATTCTATGTTCAGAAGCGCAATTCTAGGGGACTTGTAACATTTTGGTTGCATTTCGAAACCGGCATAGCTGAAGGTTTTTTTAAATGCCACTCCTGCGATTAGCATAGAATCTCCCAACGCTCCACCAGAAACCTAAAGGTAACGGTGGAAAGTAATACAACTGTTTAGGGGACCAACTTTCAACATAACGTGCACAAGTTACAAAAAATGAAACAAGTTTATTTTCATGAAAAAGATTGGTGATGAATAGGATAAAAATCCTTAGGCGCAGTTTCGATGAAATATCTGTGGGAGATACATACAGGCTTTTGGATAAACAATTCATCACGATAAACAAAAGTTGTTGACACAGTGGATGAGTTCAAGAGCTTAGTGACATTCACAGTGAAAAAGCAGATGATGGGAAAAATATAGCTGATTTCATCATTAAATCATGACTAAATGGCAAATCGGACCGTTACGACAAAGTGCCAAGTTCCATATTGATGCTAAATGACTAAATAGTGGGACACTGAAGCAGTGACTAATGAAGTTCATAACTATGGAAAAGTGACTGGGAGATTGAGTAACTGACGTTTCTGGTCATATAAAGAATACTGATGCACAGCTTTGAATAACCATACTACACCTGGTTTTCATATACTAATGACAGATAATCTAATGAACCTCGATATTTCGGAAGTAACTGGATTTAAATGACTAGGTGCTTATATCAACCCTACTTTCTGTTTTAAAGCTGAAATAATTGTGCAACTACAGTAATTACTGTCAACTACCGTGTGTTGTTTATGAATCTATTATGATTCACAGAGTGGTTATTCATTATCAATCTCCAAAAACTGAAGGTTTGCCAAGTTTGAAACTTAAAAAACCGATACAGGTTGACAAGCTGGATTGTCTATCAGACTTTTGTGAACGCTTGTAACGCTACTCAAATGTCCATCGTGAAGTAGATGAAGAACTTGAACACAGGATCGCGCACAACTGTATATTATAGAGTACGAATACACACATTTGTTAAGTCATAGTTGATAGTAGTAACCTTTAGAGAATAAAAATGCAGAATAGCTGTTAGTTCAGATTATAGCCAAACGCTGAAAATACAGAAAAATCAATCTTTCAAATAAGCTGCTAGTGAAAAAAAGGAAATAGCTAATAATGAATAGTAAAAACAATCGGAACTTTTCGGACCAAGGTTAGCTACAGCAACAGTACTAAGTCACAACTATTATCCGAATATGCAGCTGACACTCAAAACAAAAGAGAAACCGTAGGTAGAAACATCAATGACATAAAATTACCTTTTTAATACCAATCATATTCAAGGGGAGATATGAATCCAACAAACTGACAGCGTCTACGACCAATTTAGAGAAAAATTCTTTATGTCCAGCTACCAACTTGGAACTGAGAGCAGTTGATGCGCACTTTTCTAGAAGAGCACGCTGCTCGCTAGAAACAAAAATTCATTCACAAGATGAAGTATGTTAGGTGAAATTACTAAAGAATATCATGCAATATGTTTTAACAGTGAAGTTGTGACAAACTAAAATCTTGCTTTTAGTAGTTTTTAACGTGTGGTGACTCAAAAAGCTATATTTTGCAGCACACTTATAAGTTTTAAATCATTAAAATGAAAAACCTGGTATCTGAATAGCATGAACTGTCGAAAACGTGGGTTCTCTTACCTAAAAAAAGTTACCGCCTTAGTTACCTAGTTTGGATAAAATACAAACTTAACTCAGAGAACTAAAATAAAAACGAACAGATAAACTCAATCAGAATAAGCTCGGACGCACGTAGCTCGATGCAATACTTACACTTTGTAACTGACAATAAAGATCCGTTAGAACAAATAAGGCAGACAACTTACCTAGGATTCTCTTGCTTAATACGGCAAGCAATACTTTCTAACCGCTTCAACGCCATTTTTCCACCAAGACGGTAGGCACGAATAATAACAGATGGGTGAACACCTTCTTCTAGGAACGGTTTTGCCTGCTTTAAGAATTCTGTTGCCAAAAGTGTAACACTAGTTGTACCGTCTCCAACTTCAGCATCCTGTGCGCGTGCAATGTCAACTAAAGTGCGTGCGGCAGGGTGGACAACGTCCAGAAGCTTTAGGATTGTGGCTCCATCATTTGATATGGTAGCTTTCCCTTTGTCATCTATTATGAGCTTATCCATCCCCCGAGGACCCAATGTAGACCGAACAGCATCAGAAACAGCTCCACAAGCAGTTATATTACTCACTATTTGTGGAATTCCTTGAGATGTATCAGTGCCTTCTTTCAGCAAAATAATTCTAGCTGGTTGCTGAAATGTAATGCATGATTAAATTTAGAAATTTTCATACAAGTGGAAAACAGATACCGCTGATAACATAAATGAATCATTTTCTGCATATTGTTTGCATTAATGTAGATCAAAGTGCATGAGAAGAGATAACAAATACAACAAAGCTAGTGAATATATTTAAAACTGACGTATATATCTGAGCCATTGTGACTAACTACCGTCCATTCAATCTTATTGATACTGTTGTTAAGGTAACAGAAGATATTAAGCGACGGTATGAACGTATTTCGAGAAACATGACCCAACAACACAAGCAACATACCTTAGGAATAAGATCCTATCTGACGCTCCAAGAGAAGGGATTGGGTCAGTGATAGTTATAATCCACTGATTTTCGCGAGACCTACGACAGGGTTCTCTATGCAGGACTCATAAAATTTCTAGAATTCCGTTTCGTTAATGGGTTCAGGTGTGGATAAGGGAATGTGTACATGGGAGACGGCGGGCAATGGTGAAAGGAATACCCTTAAATCACAATTCGATGGCCTTTACTTTATATGGCGCTGCGGCTCATTGATTCAATTAGTTGGCTTTCAAACAGTGAGCTGCGGACTCGAACACTGCTCCATCTTCAGACATTCGGGCAAGCAGGAAGTATCACCAGCCCTCAAAACAGGTGCGGTTCATTGACTACTGCAAGGAAATGCACATGGTTGAGTAATTTCACCGTTGGTTCTTCACTTAAGTAAATTACTGGGGGAGAATCAGGTTAGCTCTACTTTTATTTAGTGGTGTTGAGGATTATACGTGATGACCGGTTATTTCTGGTGAACTGACTGGTCTAGATGATGGAGACTAGGAAAAATTCCAACAAGAGTAGTAATGCACGCTAGATGTGAGTACTCTAGTGATTCTTTATCTGGGACTATGGAGCAAACACTTGGTTATCGTAAGGACGACTGCGAAGTGTAATTATTCCGCGGTTATAACGTTTCGTAGCTTCTGGCCGTTTAAACGAGCATTCGAATTGTTTGAGGAAGGCATACCTTCGATTATACACACCACGTATGTAAGCATACTGATTCCATACAGCTACATCATGGTTCACAAAAGCTGATACTGTGAAGAGGGCTCAAAGTATGACGAAGTTAGTCTTGCCTACTCTCCATACAATGAGCAATTAGCAAAGCTCAACGTTTTGCCCATCGCATGAAGAACGACTTAATATTGGCATTTTGTATCTTATTATCGATCCATGTATTGAATCATCTCTACTTTATAGAGAATCAGCCTCCTTAGAGGTCACCTAAAAACGATCAAACCATCTAGTATAATACCGGTTTTATAATTGTAATTCGTCACTGGAACAAATGATAGCAGTTCTACTGGCGAATGCACTCAGGAAATTGGACCTTCTACTACGGAACGGACCAAACAGGTTGTCTCAGAAATCACGTAGTCTACTGAATAAACTATCCTATCAATCTTTCGGAATGGTTAATCTTATTGGTTATTCACACCACCGACCGCAAGAAAGTTCTTAGGAGATTATGGAAACTTGATGTGTAGTCTGACCAGAATCTAATGACTGCGGAAGCACTCTCACTCAACTGAGCATTCACGCTGAATATGGTAACTTAGCATTTTGAAGGCAGAATAATGAAACTAAGGTTATTCAATTAAAGGCAAAAGCTTCCACCGTTCCTAAAAAGATGAATTGCAGTGTTTTAATTCTTTCTAGTGTAAGAACTGAGAAACTATCAAAGGCCTGGGGCAGTCACGATGTGTTCATTATCTGTCGACTAATCGTACAATGATAAAAAACAAACATGAAGCTTTTCGACCAAGGTTTTAAAAGTTGGACTGTAGCTTTCACTTATCCAGAGCTTAGGATGAATTGTCACAAGGAAACCCAGATATGGCTGCTTTCTTAAGGATCCAGGCTGAAATCAAATGAGGGCAAACAGGACTGAAATGGAGACTGAGTTGGTATGTGCCTCAACTCCAAGTGAACTGCTCATACTTGTTACACCTGCTGACCTTTGTTTCTTTACTGTGTGATTAGGATAGACGAAATTTGAAACCTTTTCTGTTTCATGACAAATAGATGTGTACGTAGATAACAGGCTTTTCTTATTCTGAAAAATTGTTTCGCATATGCGCCAAGTGACTGACTAATTAGGCTGCAGTCAAAACAAGTCATAATCTACTCATATTCGATTCAATTGAGATACTTGTATGCACTACACAACGGTCAAAAAAAACTACTGGTAACTCATCAGAATTTTGGGGATGATTGGTCAAAATATAAGACAGCACTGTCACGCAATGAGGGACCTTTAAGTAGACATTTTGTAGGTGCAGCCAGGAAAAACTACAGCTTACGTCCTTACACGCGTGTGTGCTTAGCAGAGTATACTCAACCTGGTACAACACAAAGTGAACTGCACCATAAAAACAACAAAAACAAATCCTCGAACTCACAAGCATGGTAACTGGGTTTCTAGCGCGCGTCTGACTAACGATTCAACAGTCAACACAAACGCAGTGGATGATTTAAACTATTTATGTCCTCCTGAAATTCAAACTTCTTGTTGTACAAATGGCAAGCTATTAATCTTTGGTTTCTAGCATCTGCGCTGAATGGAAATTTTGCTTGCTTGGAATGGTCAAAGTTCCTGTCCTTGTTCTGAGTATCCTGAGTGAACATAGATGAGCAATTACTACTAGGCAGCTCCATTCCGATAGTATTGTCATCTAATGTCTGCAAGACAACGGGGAGCTACACTCAACATCGTAAACCAGTAGTTTTGGACTAGATTACTAGTAGTTTTTTTGAGGCTTTGTTATTGTTATTCGGTTTTTCTCCTTTAGTGCACAAGAAGAAGTCTTCTATCTCACACTTTTTGATGAAGTGTATTCGTACTTTATGTATTGGCTTGATCAAGAAGCTAGGTGCCGCCAGGGAAACTGGATATTTTCTTAACAGTTCACGGTTAGCAGGTGCCTGAATAGGAACTTCAGAATAAAGGTAAAAAAGAGCCCACGATGCACCCGAAGAGTAAAAGTAGGTATGGTGAGTATAATAAATGCAGGACGGTTAAAAATTAAAGGAGGCAAACAGGAAGAGTATCAGCCAAAGGGAGGGCAACTGTGAGGTAGTGAATGGCTTGATAGGCTTTGTCGGTGAAAGATTTTATAGGTCACAGCGATACCCCCTATTTGTGAGATAACTTGAGGTAAATATATTTGGGCACTTTGGTCTGTATATCATTCCTTTTACCACAGATCCCAAATGTGTTTTGTTCGTGGATTTATGTACCTTCTTTGGGGAATTGGGGTCTATCTTGAGAGTTGGAGGGTTCTACCACATTTATTACTCTCATTTGTGGTCAAGCATGCGTCCCGAAACTGTTAGAAAGTACTCCGTTGTTAGGCCACCGCGCTTCCTGCGCAAGAAACGTAACATGGCGTCGACTGTTGCTGGCACTCCTTCATGGCTGAAGCTAAAGTTCAGATCAGGTGAAGTTGAGGTTCTCATATTTTGTGCAGACACTTGTGATGGCATGGTTTCTCGCACTGAACTCATGTTTTGACCCCTCTGTGTTGGCCTCATGCGTTTCGTTTACATTAATTTGCAACCTTTTAGTCTGAAGCCCAGGTGGTTTTCTCACACCCATGGTTATGGTTGCTGCAGGTCCTTTCAGAGTAACCTGTGATCGGCTTTCTCGCAAATCACCCCCAGTTCGTTGAAATCATTCACAGAATGAGGACAAGCGGTGGGAATTTCTAAGGACCACAGATAAAAGGAAGAAGCAGAAGTGGTCCATAGGTCCCCCCCTGGAATGCTCTAAGCATGCACGAACTCTTTATTTTGTGCTTGGTTGCTTGCCTTCTAAATACTCCCCGAACTAAGAAAGTAGAGACCTGTTTCCATCTCCCAATGAAACATTTCCTGCCAGACGGTCATGCGAAAAGCCTTCACATTCTTTTACCAAGTCACCGATGATGTCAGCTGTCCTGTTGTCCAGCCTAGCAGTCCAATCGCCACATATGGCTAGCAAGTTTGGGGTACGTGGGCTTCCAATTCGAAGATCATGTTATGCAGTAGGAACGGCCCTGTTCCTGCTAAAGAGCTCCTTTGTCTCTTTTGCTACCAGGCCCCCAGGCAGTCTAGAGAGAATGCGGATCAGAGTAGTGGGTTGGCAGTCACCAAGGTTTTCCCTTCCGCCCTCACGAAAACGGGTGAAAAGGTAGCCAACTTCCATTCTTTCCAGAGTCCACTTGACTTCAGTGACCGCGTAAACAGGTCAAAGATTGACTTTAAGAATGCCCCAGGGCGGTTATTTTGGCCTTTGACGTTGAATGATGAGATTCCCATCGTATTTATCGGTTTATAAAATACTCAGTTTCGGTTCTACAAAGTGGATACAGAAAACAGTTGCCATCACATGAGATTCACGGTGGCAGGTAGTATTGCCGAGAATGCGTGCTAAGAACACAGAAGTAGTAAGTCGGGTACAGGCATAACTCACGGACGCTTCATGAGGTAGAGCCTTTAAAATTCCTTCAAAGCAGTATAAAGGCGAAATCCAAAATTGTCACATTTGGAAACTACCAGAACGGCAAGAAGAGCAAGGTACGTGAAGTACTGAAGTAGTGCATAAGCAAATCAACAATATCAATGGCTTTTTCAGACTGCCTTCTCAGATACATGCCAGTCACAGTATTCGAGCATTTTTCGCCCCCGTAATGATTTTAGAGTGCAACAAGGCACCAGACTTATCACTGAATTTCTTCGAAAATCTTTCAGTATAGCGCTAAGAATGTTCGTCGAGGTAACAATTTTTGAATCTCAGGAGTTTACCAAGAATCGAAACAGATTTAAAGTTATTTGTCGCTCATATAGTTTATGAGCAGTTAAGCTTTGTCAGGATCTCGTCGATCGATTAACCCCCCTCCCACAAGTGGTTGCATTCTACAAGTTGGCAGGCGTTCGAGATTCCATATCCAAAGCCTGTTGAAATCGAGACAAATTCTCTTAATTGATGCAGAAAACAAGGTTTGCATTCCTAATAGATTTGATGGTGGGAATTGTTCTCTGAGGAACTTGACCGGTGCAGAAGCCAATCACCAATTCTTTGCAACTATCGAATGCCCACGGGTGTGAAACCGAAAAAGTGATATAGGGTGCCCAGGTAGGAACAGTATATCCAATAAATCACGCCGAAATACCTATGCTTTCCGACTAAATAGCTGGCGGATTGCGTATGGGCAAGGCATAGTAACACGACAACGTGCCAAATGACGTGTATGCCTAGGCTACTGATCTTGGAGGATTACTCGCCACTACAGTGGCTTACCACCGACACGCGCCAGTAACATGTGAATATATGCTTATCCCACCAGTTCACCTTACCCTTCTTCTCATTTCCTCCACACGCACACGCTTCACGCTGCCATTGGGAAAACGCCCGGGACCTAAGTGAGCCTACGAAGATGCGTATTCCAAAACGGTCTCATTAGAAGCTTTGCTGCCAACAGTCTGTAAAGGAACAAATCCATACGGGCAACCACTATCGCCAAAGGTGTAAGCTTGTAGGCTGAAAAGACTTCTATGGCCACTCAAAGAGTTTAACCGGAAAAAGACAACTGAGCCCCGCGACCTAAAAGTGAGAGCTGGAAAACTATGAGTTTCATCCACCCACACGTTGATATAGGATGTTGGACACTCCCCAGTGATTGAGCCTCTTCAATAAATCCGATATTTACACATACGATCATTACCCTTTCTTGAATTTTCAAAGCAAAATGATTGGATGGGAAAGGCTTCAGGAACTGAGGGCTCCCTCGAGAGATATGAAATTCTTGAGACACATCGCAACATTTTCCCTCTCGGGAATAGCTGCCACAACTGTATCTTTTGATTCACTGGTATCCTTGCCATCCACCATTTCCGGAGGCAAAAGAATAGGCCATGGCAGAAAACCACGCTGAAAACTTGGATCAACCAGCAAATAAGTAAGGAATGCCCAAAGTTCTACCTCACGTCCCTTCGACCCTGCGTATCACCAAATGCCTTGATATTCCCCTTGTTTTCCTCCATTTCCTTATCCGGTACTTAGACTTGCCTCTCGTATTTTTCATTTGTCCTCATTTTGTTTTAAATTTGCCGCTCATCTTTTAGATCCACCTTTCGGTGTGTCCTCACTCACAACCGTTTTTTCCCATTGGGACCTATTTCATGTCTGTTAAACCCGGTGTGCATGAACAGTCACTGATTTTCCTTCGGGCAACCGTAGCTTATGTATCTGCATGGACGCAACTGCTGGAGTACGATGATAGTGGATACTGTTGAGACATGTACCGTGAAATTTAGAAAGTTTAGCTATCTCTTATTCTCAGTGACTGCCTGCGGTCACTCGGCCACAACCTCCTCATCGCTTTCTTTAATGTTATTGGATTTGATAGCCTCCCTAATTAATTTCCTTTATGTTTTCCGCTCTAGCAGAAAGTTCCACTCGGAGATTTAGTGAAGCTCACCTTGTCAGAAATTCATCCTTTCATTCCCTCACTGCCTTGGACTTTGAGGTTATGGAACCAAAGTTTCACGTATTTCCCGTACTTGCTGTGAACGTTAGCCAACCCTTGACTTGCGCCCACTGAAAATCCCGACTGATTACAACTTGCTTCGAAAAGCCAATTCCATACACCTTTGCTTGATTTCCTCCACAGCCTTCTTAGCAGTGGAAGTCAGTTAGTGAGTGAATTTCTCTCCGAATGTGTTATTAGATAGAACCAAAATTAGTTTTCACGTCAGTGAAGTTGCACTTGTATATTTCCCCATGCTAGAAGGGTTGGTCTGTTGAACTGCATGACTTAAAAAGCTGATTTAGAAGTATTCGTCACCTAACTCCATTTCTAGTCCTTTCAAACCCCCATGGACACTCCGGGTAGACCAGTATCAGCTGGGATGCTGTCAGCAACTGTCGTCGTCGAAGGGCGTGGGTGCTGCAGCAAGTGGTGGACGGTATCGTTTGCAGTGGTAGCCTGTAAGTGTTTTTAAAATGTCAATGAACTCACCCACTACAACTGCCCCGTTTGCTTCCATAAGGCAGCCGCTTCCAAACGTGTGGAATAGGGGCTGCGGAGAAAATTGCTAAGGCACCTAACTTGGGATTTACGAACATGGTTATTCAGCAGTATTTGCCATTGAGGAAGATGGGTAGGTGACTGGTCGCATGATCTTAAGGTTGTAACAAAAAATTACGACATAGCATGCTGTTTACCATTCCCACTGTTCAGCCACAAAAGTTCAAGGTGTGTGCGAACCCAATAATTACGCGTTCAAATGATTTACCGATTCCGGGAAGTCAGAGCTGTTAAAGTTGAGGTTTGGGTCCTCGACTACTGATGAAGGTTATTCACCGACTATAAGGTGTAACAAATTAGAAGTGCGGCCGAGGAAAGTTCACTAGAAGTTCAGTTGTGAGGTAGGCACATTATCCATGGCACTGCTG